TACTGATCTTGACATGTTTGAACTACACCATTCAGATTATCTTTCCCCCCAACTCATTCATTCTTCTGATCATCCTATACCTGATCCTATTCTTGAGAACGGTGGTGACGCTCGCTAATGAGTACCGCGTCTTCCCAGTGAAGTAGAGCCGTCTTCATGGGGCCTCAACGATCCCGGTGGCGATGTCCAAAGCGTGACAGACCGGGTCAAATTGAGGAGCTTGCTGTGGAGATAGGTTTCCGGTTCGTGAACCGAATGTCTCACCTGGCGACTCCAGACTTGAGTCCCGGAACCACAGCCATTCAACGGGATTCGAAATGCCAAAGATATTCCTACAACTGATGCCTTACCTTCATTGCAACCTACAGAAGCATTTCTCCCAATTCCAGATCAGTCTAAGTCCAGACCTTCTCGAACTATTAAACCTCCTGGATGGTTAACTGATTTCATCACTACCTCTAAAGCTAAGCCACTATCTACCAGTTGTTCCTATCCTATTTCTGATTCCCTCCAATACTCACATTTGTCCCCTCCTTACCAAGCATACTTGGGTTCCTTCTCCCCTCAAGTTGAACCAAAAACCTTTAAAGAAGCATCTCAAGGTTCTAAATGGATTGCAACTATGACTGATGAACTTTGTGCCTTGGAAAGTAATCACACTTGGGAGGTGGTTGACTTACCACCAGGCAAACAAGCTATTGGCTCTAAATGGGTGTTTAAAATAAAGCATAAGGCTGATGGGACTGTTGATAAATACAAGGCAAGGTTGGTTGCTAAAGGATATACACAAAAGGAGGGGTTAGATTACCATGAAACATTCTCCCCTGTTGCTAAGATGATAACAATGAGAACTCTAATCAGTGTTGCAGCATCTAAGGACTGGCCTTTGGTTCAAATGGATGTTAATAATGCATTCCTTCAAGGTGATTTACATGAAGAGGTTTACATGTCCTTACCTCAAGGTTTCCACAGACAGGGGGACACTAGAGTGTGTAAGCTGTTGAAATCTTTGTATGGGCTGAAACAGGCGTCTAGACAATGGAATATCAAATTATCTACTACCTTGTTGGAAGCAGGATACATTCAGAGTTCACATGACTATTCCTTATTCACTAAACAGTGTGGTAATGACATAGTTGTAATTCTAGTTTATGTTGATGATTTAATGATCATAGGAAACAACCAACAACTGATAGATGATGCTCAGAAGACACTGCATAGCAAGTTCAAAGTGAAAGACTTGGGGTAGCTCAAGTATTTTTTAGGGATTGAAGTATTGAGGTCAGAAAAAGGGATTCTACTTAACCAAAGAAAGTATATTTTGGAATTACTCTCCACAGTAGGAATAACAGGAGCTAAGCCAGCTTCCACTCCCATGGAAATGAATGTAAAGCTTACTACACTGGAGTATGACTCAGTAGTTGGAGGTGTTGAAGATCATGTGTTAAGTGATGTTCACAGTTATCAGCAATTAGTTGGGAAACTGATCTATGTGACCATCACCAGGCCTGATATATGTTTTGCAGTCCAAGTCCTCAGTCAATTCATGCAACATCCCAAGAAGTCACATTGGGATGCAGCATTGAGAGTTCTCAGATATCTCAAACAAGCACCTGGGCAAGGGGTGTTATTGACAAGAGGACCTATCACAAGCTTGACAACATACTGTGACTCAGATTGGGCAGGTTGCCCTAACACCAGGAGTTCAGTGACAGGGTATGTAATTCAACTTGGAGATTCTTTAATTTCATGGAAGTCAAAGAAGCAACATACTATCAGTAGAAGCTCAGCAGAGGCTGAATACAGGAGCATGACAGGCACAGTAGCAGAAATTATTTGGCTAACTGGATTATTAAAGGACCTAAGGGTAGACATTACTACTCCAGTCAGACTCTGTTGTGATAGCAAGGCGGCTATGCAGATTACTCTCAATCCAATCTTTCATGAGAGGACTAAACATATCGAGATTGATTGTCATTTTATAAGAGAGAAGATCAAAGATGGCTTGATCAAGCCTGAATATGTGGGGACCAAATCTCAGCTAGCAGATTTACTTACGAAAGGTCTAGGGATTGTACAGCATCAATTTCTTCTTTCCAAGCTAGGAGTCCTTGATGTCTTCCATCCTAGCTTGAGGGGGAGTATTAATAATATGGTGGTTTATAATTAGAATCGGTTGAGTCGGTTAAGTAGTCACGTGAAAGTTGTTATGCCCACTTGTAGAGTACAAAGTTAGTTACAATAATTGTGATGTATAAATAGCTGTAACTTGGATCTGATTCATAAAATGAAAACACTTTTCTTCTTCTTCTTACTCAAAACGCTCTCTATGTTGTAGTCAATAAACCATTAATATGGTTTAACACTTGTCCACCTTGTAAGTACCGCTATTACAACCAACGTGACCAAAAGTGACAAAAACAATTGAATAATAACCTCCTAGATAACTCAAAACTAATTCCACATTAAAAAATAAACACAATTGGTGGAAGAAATAAAAAAAAATTATGTTAATGAAAATGGAAGACTTGAGATCCAATTTTTATAAAGAGTCAAGAATATAATTAGAAAATTTCACTTATATTGCTAGTGGAACTAATGTCAACCCAACTACTTCATATGTATGTAACAACATTAACAAAATGGAGATGTTCAAAGAAGTAAAATTCAAGAAATCAAAGTCAACTTCAAAGTAGTAGAGCTCCATTGTTGAAATTAGTGATAACTAAAGAAAAATGCACACAAGGACTTTTTATCATTTTCAGGGCTCGAACTCGAGATCTCAAATTAATAAGGATGGAGGGATTCCAACCATTCCATCACAACTCTTGTCGGTGATAAGGCTATTTGAGTTGATACTGAAGAAAATGATATTTCTTGCTTGGATGATTGCCACTCTTTGCCTCGAAAGAATTCACACACGGCCACCAAAGGGAAATTTACTGCTTATACAATGTTTGTGTTGATTGTTAGCTAAATTTTATTTAATTATAATGTTAGATCTATCAATACATAAAAGTGAAAAAGTGTCATTTTACCTTTTTATTTATTTATTTATTTATTTTACCTTTACTTATTATTTAATAATACTATTTTTCTTTTCTTTTATCTTCTTCTTTTAATAATAACTCTGCATATATAATATATTTTCTTTGTAATATTGTAAGTTTATTCCTCAGATTCTAGCAATATTAAAGAAAGAAAAATAATACAGTTTATTCAAACATTATAGTCATAAAAATTAATATAATATAACGATATATTATATTATAAAATAAATAATAGGTAATAACCATTCAACAAGGTAACAAAAATTAAGAACCATTAATTATTGATATTGTTCAAGAGTTAAACCATTATAATATATATATATA